TGCTTCTCCCTCTGACCCTCCTCCCTCTCATGCTCTCTCTCATTCTCTCTGTCTCAAATAAATAAATAAAATCTTTAAAAAAAAAAAAAAAAAGAAGTTCCACTACCCCACCTTAACAGCCTTGCTTTCTTCGCTGATGCCCAAAGATTTTCCAATATTAATACAGAACACTTACTATAGCCAGACTGAGTTAAACTCTTTCCAAAGAGATCCACTGAAATAGTCTTACCTCTGTTTCTGTGAGAAGTGTTTTTAGTCTTGTCAAATCCTTTGTTACCATCCCATTCTGAAAAGGGTGGATGAAAAAGGCAAAACCCAGTTAGTATATTAGTTCTTTGCTATGTGGGCATAACTCAATTCCTCCACTGTTTCTAAGGTTTATCTATAAAAGGCCAATGCTATCCTCATCTCCCATCGCACTACCATTAATGGTGATAATAAAGCTAATCATCTGTAAGAAGGACAAAATACACAGTGTGGCCTAAAACACTTTATTTACCTTGTGTAAGAGTTTAGAATCAATTCAATAAAATATTCACAACGGGTGTTGCTGAAAAGCAAGATAGGATATGCAAAGAGAAAAATAAACCTACACTTATTTTGAGCTTCCCTCCCAAAAACCAATGGGCTTATATTTACAAAATGGTGAACTCAATCAGTTATCCATGATTCAGATTAACATAAGATGATCATTGCACTTTAAAGATAGCTCATTAATAAAGCAGTTTAAGGAAAACAGGCAAAATAGTCACTCTTCTGAAATTCAAATTTCACTTGAGATTTAAAAGCAAATACTTCTTCCTAGTTTTAAATTAAAAAACCCAACAAGTAAAACTGTGTAATATGCTTAACTTATACTGAAAACTTCCTTAAGGATAGAATTATCTTAATAATAAAGAAGAGGGGCGCCTGGGTGGCTCAGTCGTTAAGCGTCTGCCTTCGGCTCAGGTCATGATCCCAGGCTCCTGGGATCGAGTCCCGCATCGGGCTCTCTGCTCCACGGGAAGCCTGCTTCTCCCTCTCCCACTCCCCCTGCTTGTGTTCCCTCTCTCACTGTCTCTCTGTGTCAAATAAATAAAATCTTTAAAAAAAATAAAATAAAGAAGAGATAGATTCTTTATCATCTATTTAGAACTAAACAGCTATCCAATTTTGCTATATTAGTAATACAGTTTAGCTTTATATTCACTTGTAAATTTGATGAAATCAAAAACCAATTACTAAACCAGGGTGCCCAGGTGGCACAGTCGGTTAAGCATCCGACTCTTGGTTTCGGCTGAGGTCGTGATCTCAGGATGCTGAGACAGAGCACTGCATGGGGCTCCACACTCAGCGGGGAGTCTGCTTGAGAATCTCTCTTTCCTCCCTCTGCCCCTCCCCGTGCTTTGTCTCACTCTCTCTAAAATAAATAAATAAATCTTTAAAAAAAACAAACACACATAATGTTAAACCAATTAAATAATTCACTGTACAGTAATCCCTCAGAAAATAACTAAATTACCCCGAGGTGGGTCATTACATTACACTCAGCTGTATACCAAGTACTTTCCTAATTTCTTTTTTTCCCCAACCAAATATATTTATTTGCAGTGAAAACACTCCAGATTTTCACAGTTTACATAGACTCAGAAGACTAAGTGAGGTGCAGGGAATTCATGCTATATAGCAACGTATACACTTTCTGGCTTTTCCTATTTTCCATTGATTCCTCAGAAATATCCACAAATTTTATAACAGTAACCAACTGGTGAAAAAAGTTTTAACATCTTTTCTTCTCATTTCTATAGATTGCCAATTCTAAAGTTCCAAAATGTAGTCCCTCAATTATCTCAACCAAAACCAAAAAAACTCCAGAAAATTAAATGCTACATACAAAAAATTATTCCAAAATCTGAATAGAATTAGGTCATTCCATCAGAGTGGTGAGAGTGGAATATTAATTTACACCGATAACATCTTCAGAAACAGAAGTAATTACTACTTAGTTTAGGTAACTTTAAACATTTTATAAAATAAATGACTGGACTTAAGAACCCTATACAATCATATGTCCACAGGAGCATTTTAACACCCAAAACTGTACGGGTGCCTGAGTGGTTCAGTCGGTTAAATGTCTGCCTTCGGCTCAGGTCATGATCCCAGGACCCTGGGATCAAGCCCAATGTTGGGCTCCCTACTCAGCAGGGAGTCTGCTTCTCCCTCTGCTCCTCCCCACTCCCCGCCCCCCGCTCCTACTCTCTCACACTCACTCCCTCTCTCTCTCTTTCTCTCAAATAAATAAATAATAGTAAATAAATAAATAAATAAACCCCAAAAATAAGGAGTGCACCTGGCTGGCTCAGTTGGTAGAGCACACTCTTGATCTCAAGGTTGTGAGTTTAAGCCCCACATTGGACCTAGACCTTGCTTAAAAAATAAATAGCGCAACCATGTCAGGACCCCTCTCACTCTTGAGAGCTTTTTCTGGATCTTCACTGAATAAACTTCTATCGCTTTACTCACAAAAATAATTAATTAATTAAAACCCAAACATATTCCCAGGTTCTATTAAATGACATCTTTATTTTTTTTTCTTAAAGATTTTATTTATTAGAGAGAGACAGAGAGCACAAGCAGGGGGAGCAGCAGATAAAGGGAGAGGGGGAAGCAGGCTCCCCGCCGAGCAGGGAGCCCGACGTGGGGCTCAATCCCAGAACCCTGGGATCATGACCTGGGCAGAAGGCAGACACTCAACCGACTGAGCCACCCAGGCATCCCTAAATGACATCTTTAAAGAAAATCATTTAGTTTTCCTATACTTTCAAAGTTCTAAAAAGTACCTACTATTCTTATATATATTATCACAAACCATAAGAACCCAGTGATTAAACATCAGGTTGTTGAAGAGAAATGAGTATCTAAAGATACTCACGAACTCTGATCTCTAATAAAAGGAAGTAAAAGGAAAAATGCAAACTTAATTCCTTTTCCCCCACAATATGCATAAGGAGTCAAATGAATGAATCCATTTTCACACATTCAGAATTAGAGCTCATCAACGTACCAGGGACTCTCCTGTCAGTGACTTGGCAAGAATGTTGGATACCAGTTGAAGCTTTCCTTTCAGTTGCATGCAGCAAAGCACTGCCTGAAAGGCACCATCTCCCTTGGCCAGGCCTTCTCCCAGCACTGTCAGGAAAGAATAGCCAGCATTAACCATGTAACATTAGATGCCCATTTTTCTTGATTATAATATTAGCACACTATCACAAAGATGAATTCTTACACACTAAAAGAATTAACTTCAAGTACTAGTAGAAAGCAGTGATGTTTCAGTTCTGTCCAAGACATACATAAAGACAAGAAAAAACATGGTGGAATCCACATATCTAACCCACTAGCAGCCTACAGTCAGGTAGGATCACATCAAAGTCACAGGAAGAAGAGTTCATCTTAAAGCTCTCTCTCCAGTGAAAAATACCAGTCAGCCTATAATTCTGGGTAAATGAGGGCTATTAACTGCAAAGATATTTTCTGAATAAAGTTCCACATTTTTAACAGTGAAACAAGAGATCCAGTGCCATTAAAATGCAAAAGAATAGAAGCTGCAAATCTCAACATGTGGTATTCCTAAGCAGCTAAAAGTTAGCTTTTATCAAAAACAGCAAGATTAACTAAGAACCTAATTGTCACATGGCCACAGAAAATGCTAACCTAATTGTTTGCAAGTGTTTACAGACTTAATACAATCACAGGAGCACATATTTCTAAAAACACAGAATATACTCATTTTTATGCCATGTCATTTGAGATGATTTCTCACAGCAACTGCTAATGGCTCACCTAGTAAAACAATCTGTATCTTTCTCTTCACTGCTAAGTCCAAGATTCTATTTTTGGTTTGTACACACTTTAGCTTCCTTTGCAAGAAAATAATTTGCTGAGAGAAAATAGTTTGGAAATTGCATTTTTTTCTAATTATTGCCAAGGAAATGTGTAAGTATCAGTATAATATACTGCATATTTAAAGTCCACTGGGTCTGTTCATAATGTATTTATTTTAGTTGTACTGAACATATCTTTTCATTATGTTGTTCAATTTTTCCATTACATAAATAACATTACAAGAACACTAATAAAATTCTACATAAAAATTCCCCATAAGTTCATCACTCAACTAAACAGACTGTCTTCACTTCTTCATTTTCTCTTCCAATTTTTATCAATATTTACATAATTTTTACATGATTGTAACTGATATAAATACAATAGTTTGTATTCTGCTTTGTTTTCCCTTGGCACATTCAGTATCTTCCATGGTTCTCAGAATGTTTATGCTTATCGTATTATTGCCATACGGCGTTCCATCAAGTGGATACATCAATTTATTTAACTACTCCCTAGCTCCAGAACAATCCCAATTTTTAACTATCGAAACTAACAATGCAATAAACATCTTTATGTATATATCCTTTATTGAAGCAGATTACTAAATTGAAAGTTGCAGTCTCTCTGTATTTAAGAAGGTTTTATTCAATTACTTTTAGTTTGGGACAACCTGTTGTCTCCCTCCATCCACATTACAGATCTACTCAACTGTCCCCGGATAATTCCAGTAAGTGATTAACTCCAATAGAGTATCATTAAGAATGTCTTGAACATCTTATAAAATTCCCCAGTAAGCCCACATCTCCCTCAGCTCTTACTATTCCTAAAACTATTCAAATATGACCTTTGGCAAATCACTTTATCTCTCTGGCCCTCAGTGTGGTCATCTGTAAAATAGAAACACATATAAATTTGTTGTAAGGATTGAATAATAAAATGCTTTAAAGAAGAAACGACAGGGGGCGCCTGGGTGGCTCAGTTGGTTAAGCGACTGCCTTCGGCTCAGGTCATGATCCTGGAGTCCCAGGATCGAGTCCCGCATCGGGCTCCCTGCTCAGCAGGGAGTCTGCTTCTCCCTCTGACCCTCCCCCCTCTCATGTGCTCTCTCTCTCTCATTCTCTCTCTCAAATAAATAAATAAAATCTTAAAAAAAAAAAAAAGAAGAAACAACAGTCCTACTAAGGGCTGGACTACTTACATTCGCTAAGCCTGCTTCCTCCCCTGTAAAATGGAGGTGACAGAAGCTACCTAATAAGGTCGTGGTAAAGATTAATTGTGTTAATTATGTGAAGGATCTAGCACAGTCTCCTCATAAGAGTTCCCTAGATGTTACCTTCCCCTTCTAAAAATTATACACCAGTATTGAGAACTGCTAAGGAAATATCCTAATTCCTTTTCAGTAATTGGAATATTAAGAAACTAGCTGTCAAGCATTAAAGAATGTTTCAGGGAAACAAAAAAAAAATCTAAGAATATTTCAACCTCAGGTGATTATATCATGTTTAAAGAGTTATTAAATCACACGATAGTTTACAAAAACACCTCTCACAGATCTTTGGTTCTGTACAAGGTATTTGCCAAATTTTATTTTGCAAAAGTTCTTGCATTACATTTATTTTTGAAGGCCTGAATATCTGTCAAAATTATGTTTCCTTTTTTTCTCTCTCTCCCTTTTTTAGACAAGAATCAGTACTGATATACTTTATGCCAACTGTTGCCCTAAAATGCAATTCAGTTTGCCTAATAGGATCCCATATGAAGAACTATCCAAAAAAAAAAAAAAAGTCAACATTTATAGATAAAAAGCTCTCCTGCTATTGTATCATATAACAAAATTAAATTGCGATATTGCCAACCTGGTCCCTTATTATCTGTAATATCTTGAAAAAGCTTGAAAGAAAATAAAGTACAACCCTGTGTATTATTAAACTTGCCTTAGCTATAATAATGAACTTGCCAAAAGAGAGGACATTAAAAATATAATCTAATCTTGAGCATTGTAAAAATGTTACAATGCCTTGCAGAAAAATTCTCTTCCCACCAACTATCTGTGAGATTTTACTGTGAGCACACAACTATTCCCAAACTGAACAGCTCCTTCCTGTCTATTGGGAGTTACTAAGGAGACCTAACACCTTACCTCTGTTGCTATATTCAGGTCTCCGTCCCTTCTCATTCTTCAGTTTTTGTAATACGTCTTACTTGAAATGTTTTAGACTAGAAACTAAGTAATATTAAAGGAATATTTAGGGCACCTGGGTGGCTCAGTCGGTTAAGCCACTGAATTGGGCCAATAAGGTCCTTAAGATCACTGGGTGTATAGAAACTGTCTAGAAGATGAAATGAGAAAAATGACAATTTCAGGGGCACATGGGTGGCTCAGTCGGTTAAGCGTCTGCCTTCAGCTCAGGTCATGATCCCAGGGTCCTGGGATCGAGTCCCGCTTCAGGCTCCCTGCTCAGTGGGGAGTCTGCTTCTCCCTCTGCCTCCACCTCTCCCCCGCTTGTGCTCTCTCTTTCTCTCATGTTCTCTCTCTCAAATAAATAAATAAAATTTTCTTTTTAAAAAAAGGAATATTCATTCAACTATTTCAACAAAATAGCCTCTCTTAGGGTCTGATAGCCTCTGGCTACCAAAAGGAGACAATCAACAATTAAAATTTAATTCCCCTTACTTGTAAAGAATTACATGCAATAAGAAAGGTGATTTAAAATAAGCCTTAAACACAGTAAATGTTGAGTGTAACTGTATTTTTTTCAGTGACATCACTATATTAGATTATTTCTTTCATCAAGTCCTTAGTTATCTCTAAAATCTTTCATTGAAAAGCTAAGCTGGGGCAACTGGGTGGCTCGGTCCGTTGGATGTACGACTCTTGGTTTCAGCTCAGATCATGATCTCAGGGTCCTGGGATCGAACCCTAAGTCAGGCTCTGTGCTCAGCGAGGAGTTTACTTGAGGATTCTCTCCCTCTGCTCCTGCCCCCCTTCTCTCTCTTGCTCTCTAAAATAAATAAATCTTTAAAGAAAAGAAAGAAAAGCTAAGCCTAATCAAGATATTTTTCCAAAATTTTCAATCTACAACAAACAAGGCAATAATTATTCAATGGAGAAAACAGGCTCCTCAATAAATGGTGTTGGGAAAACTGGACAGCTACATGCAAAAGAATGAAACTGGACCACTTTCTTACACCATACACAAAAATAAACTCAAAACAGATTAAATACCTAAATGTAAGAACTGAAACCATAAAACTCTTGGAAGAAAACACAGGCAGTAATCTCTCTGACACTGGCCTTAGCAACATTTTTTTAGATATGTCTCCTCAGGCAAGGGAAACAAAAGCAAAAATAAACTACTGGGACTACACCAAAATACAAAGCCTTTGCACAGCAAGGGAAACCATCAACAAAACAAAAAGACAAACTATGGGGCACCTGGGTGGCCCAGTTGGTTAAGCGACTGCCTTCGGCTCAGGTCATGATCCTGGAGTCCCAGGATCGAGTCCCGCACCGGGCTCCCTGCTCAGCAGGGAGTCTGCTTCTCCCTCTGACCCTCCCCCCTCATGCTCTCTCTCTCTCATTCTCTCTCTCAAATAAATAAATAAAAATC